AAAAATAGTTATTATTTTACAATATTATTTTATATTATTATTATATATTCATATTAAACAAAACTCAATATGTAGATCGGAAAAGTAAAAACTGTTTTACTCAGTTTTATTGTGCTTGCGAGATAATCCGCTTGTAGCTTCGTTAGTAGTCACTGGCTGCGTTCAGCAGAGCAAACTGCTCTGCAATAGTTGTAAAATTTAGGAATTTGATTGATGTACACTTTTAATTTTTACCGAAGCTAAAAGTATACACTAATCAAATTCACGAATTTTACAGCAACTAAGCAGCTTTCCCTGCTGAACGCAACCATTTTCAATTTCCTTCGATTTTGTACATACATATAAAATGTTTTTGAAAGATTAATATTTATCCAGATAGCAATGTGTAGTCTGCATTGTTACTGGCATGTTGTCGGCAAATTATAGCACGCGTTGTTACCAGAATATTATGTTACTCAGAATGTATAGATGGACACATGCGGATATCTTTTCTTCCATTGATTAACTAAGCGATCACTAATATTATAGAGATAAGCCTCTTGCAGTTTTGGACATTGTTCTAAAATAACGGAACATTTATCAGGTGTATGAAGATTCATCTGGTACAAAGGAGGTGTACAAATATATAACTTTTTCAAGTTTTTACACTTCGCCAGTAATTCCAAATTGTGATCACTGAGGACAGTACAAAACAAACAAACTTCTTGCAAGTTTTGATAGGAGGAAAGTAATCTAAAGAAGCTGTCATCAGTTTCTGGGTATTTGTGCCTGTAACAAAAATCATATAATTAGTACAATATTTTAATTGCAAAGAGAAAATTCATATAATTTTTTCAAGATGCTTCCAAGAGAAGCGAACACACATTTCAATAAAGAATACAATATAACGTATTTTAAAAGAAAATGTAATATACACACTCACTGAAAAAGGTTTATTTTTCGTAAATTCTTACAGTCAGCGAAGGCATTGATACCCCGAGATGTAAGATGACGTACTTCCATATTTGAACTTATTACTTCCAAGTCAGGACATGATTTTCCCAACTCAATTAGGACTGCATCTAGGTTTAAGTCTCTTTCAAAATACATTTCCAAATATATCTCACGCATCCGTTGATTTTTGTGCAGTATTTTGCAAAGACGTTGCGTTTCAATATGTGTATTGTGAAGGTTTAGATACTCCAAACCATTTAGCCTCTTGAGGTACGAAAATTCTTCGTCGTCTACGCAACAATGACTTAAAGCTAATTCTGAAAAAAATAGGTATTAGTTATATGCAATTTATCCATAATCTTGACAATCATATATATATATGTATTATATATACGCATACCTTTCAAATTTTTGCATATCTCTGAAATTTTAAGTAGAGCATGACTGTCATCAATTAATTTGCACCAACTTAATCTTAAGTGCGTTAAATGCCTGCCG